CCACACAGTGTGTGAAAGCCACACAGTGTGTGAAACCCACACAGTGTGTGAAACCCACACAGTGTGTGAAACCCGCATGGTGTGTGAAACCCACACAGTGTGTGAAACCCTGCACACAGTGTGTGAAACCCACACAGTGTGTGAAAGCCACACAGTGTGTGAAAGCCACACAGTGTGTGAAAGCCACACAGTGTGTGAAACCCACACAGTGTGTGAAAGCCACACAGTGTGTGAAAGCCACACAGTGTGTGGAACCCTGCCCTGTTCGTGCATACTTACCTTGGAGACGAGGCATTTGAGGTCTCTGTCTATATAGCCATTGACAACTCCGTCCACGATGGCTTTGGCCACGACGGATTCGGTGTCAGGAACGGATTGTATGTGAAGTATTTTAGCGATATCTTCGAGCTTGATTCTTTTGTACGCGAGGTTGATTTTTCTGAGTCCGACGCGAATGACGGAGTGGTGGAGTCTTTCGACGAGGAAGAGTGTTCCGTCTTTGCGGAAGGTTTCGGTGCTTTCGGTGAGGACGTGATTGAACTTGATCATGTCGCCATGGCGGACGGCGAGGACGAGTTGTTTGTAGCAGTCGAGCTTCGGTCCGAGTTGAGGCGTTTGGAAGATTTGTATAGCAGGTATGTCGCCAAGAAGGAGTTCGACAACGATAGCGTATTTGCAAGCCTGGAGACGGAAGCCGAAGGCATAGTCAGCATGGCTAGGGAGTTTGTTGATAGCTGCACGGAGCTTTTCGAGGGCACTAGCATATTCGAGACGGATGGCCTGTATGCGACCGAGATTGTAGAGACAGCGCACAATCTGTGGGGTGCTACGAATGTCCTCAGGGAACTGACTTAGGGTCGTGAATTGAAGAGCGGCACTGTATTGACCTGTGGCGAGATAGCTCTGTGTGAGCTGGTTGATGAGTGTCGCAATGCAGAGTTGATGCCGCGCTAACACAGCCGAGCGATACTCCTGTAAAAAAAGTTCGCACAGGTCTTCTTCACGTCCACTCAAAGTATAGACTCGCGATATTGCAAAGTAAATCTTCGAGTCCAAAGTGTCGCTGGAGGCCTCCTTGCTGCTATGAATCAATTTCAGGCATAAACGACATACCGGTAACCCCACTGACCCCAGCCAGCCCTGAACCGCACTCACCGTTGGCCTCTCAACAAGCATGGCCGTGTCCGCAGAGTGTGTGGGCCTCTTGTCCACTGCACTCGCCGTGGCTGCAGCCGCAGCCAAGTAGTCGTCGACCAATGCAAACAGAGCCAGGAGGTGCAGCCATTTTAAACTCAGGACACTGAATTCACTGATATCCTGCAGACGACGGACAGGAGCTGTACTCACCGTCGGCTCTTCGTCCATAGCGGTGTCCAGGTCGTCAGTTGCCTTCTTGTCACCGTCGGTCTGCTTCTTGTCACCGTCGGTCTGCTTCTTGTCACCGTCGGTCTGCTTCTTGTCACCGTCGGTCTGCTTCTTGTCACCGTCGGTCTGCTTGTTGTCTTCAGCGGTTCGCTTTTTAGCGGCCTGTTCTTCTCGTAGCCTTTTCTGTTCCTCTTTGGCCTTAGCTTCTTCGATAGGACCATTCCGTTCGGCCAGCTCCTTCAAGTATTGGGCCATGGCTTGCGGTTCTTTGGTCTTGATGTTTTCGACAGCCTTACTATATGCCTCGCTAAGAGCTTGCCATGAAATATTCTGTCTCATCCAATTAACCAGCCTGACGACCCGCATCACCTCCCTGTCATCGAAAGCCTTGGTTTGATTAAACTTCTGCAATTGTTGGTACAGCTGATCGGGGTACATATTTCAAATTTTAAAAAGCCAGATGGCCCCTGGTCACCCCGCAGACGCAATAGTTCCCACGTATGAAGTGTTCGCGCTGAGACATAGTGTTCGCAGTCAAGACCTTACACCCGATGAGCGCGCACGTGCCAAGTCGGACATGCTCAAATTAATAGACCAAGATAGTAAGCAGCACAGACGTGTGTTACACACACGTGTGCTACACACACGTGTGCTACACACACGTGTGCTATTCGGAGACAGGGGTTAGGGGAGGTATGTTCTTGTTAGACATGGTGGTGTTCTATGAACGAGTGTGTTCGGAGTTCGACTGGTCTGTTGATACGAACTTAGTGTCTAAAATGAAGGCGGAGAACACCAAGAATTTGAAGGAACTGCAAGACGCGATCACTGAGGCTGAAAAACAATATGGGGACGTCGAAATAAAGGATGGTAAACTGGCTATCGCCCATCATTACTGCCGAATTGGAGATTGGCAAACGGCCCAGGAGAGGTATGAGGATTTGTTGGATGCAAAGGCCTTGGATAGCACGTCCAAGGTTAATATTTATCTCACGTTGATGAGAATTGCATTATTCGAGAAAGATGTAACCAAGTGTCAGGAATGGCTTGACAAAGCGGAAAAACAATTCGAGGTGGCAGGGGACTGGGAGACTCGGAATCGAGTGAGAGTCTACGAGGCCATGCATCTCGCACAAAACCTACGCAAATTTGAAAAGGCTGCAGAACTACTTATCTCATCCCTGGCAACCTTCACAGCCTCCGAACTTCTGTCATTCGAACACTTCGTCACACTCACTGTCCTTCTCAGTGCAGCATCACTAGAAAGACCCATACTAAAACAGAATGTTCAAAGGTCACCTGAAGTTTTGCAAGTACTGGCTGGCAAGTCAAGACTCGCTACCTTCTTCAACTCGCTTATGGTACGTCCCCCACGGTGGATATACCCCCCCCC